AATTATGTACTTTCGAGTTTATTTTAAATATTTGTAGTTTGTATATAAAAAAAATTTTATTAATTTATATATAATTATTGTACATATTACAATTAAGAAGTTGTGGCTGTACAATACCAGCTAAAAAATATCAATTAAAAAAATATCAAGAAATTTTGTCATAATGTTCTAAAATCAATTAATAAAGAATAACATAATTATTTAGTTTTTAATTTAATGATTTATGCAACGCATTTACCATATTCTGCAACAATTTTAGGTAAATAACTTAAACAAGTAAGTTCAAATAAATTTTTGCACAAATAATTATTAGAATTTTATTACATGTATATAAAATTTTGATGATACTGCTTTGTCATAAAATTTGTAAATAAGTACTACAAAACGTGATTTTATGTAAAAAAGAAAAATAAAAGATTAAATAACTTTTAAATCTTTTAAACTTTTAAAATAAAATAAGAGAATTTTACTTAACTTTATATATTAGGTGTACAACTTTGCTTCCGCCGTTTTCCTATAGATGGCTTTAGCGGTAAGTGGTGGTCGAAATAGATCATAAACGTCATACAATAAACTCTATGATCATAAATAGATCATAGACGTCATACAATAAATTTGGGCATCTGTCAACATAACCCCATAGAAACATTCGTCGATTTGTGTCTACATCATAAAGTTATTCTCGATTGAAAATGTCAGTTTACGAGCCAAATTCTCGTCATTTGCGAGGTTTTAATTTTTTGCTTCAATATGAAGAAATCTGCGGCAGAGGCTCATCGAATGCTCTCAAATACTTATGGTGAGGGCGCTATTAGTAAAAGAACGTGTCGTGAGTGGTTTCAACGCTTCAAGAACGGTGATTTTGACGTCGAAGACCGGCATAGCGGTGGAAGAGAGAAGATTTTCGAAGATGCAGAATTGGAGGCATTACTTGAGCAAGACTCGTGTCAAAATCAAGAAGAATTGGTACGATCATTGGGAATGACTCAACAAGCCATTTCAAAACGCTTCAAAGCCATGGGAATGATTCAGAAGCAAGGAAATTGGGTGCCGTACGAATTGAAGCCGAGAGATGTTGAACGGCGTTTATTTGCTTGTGAACAGCTGCTTGAAAGGCAAAAACGGAAGGGATTTCTGCATCGCATTGTGACTAGGGACGAAAAATGGGTTCATTACGATAATCCCAAGCGCAGAAAATCATGGGGAGTCGACGGCCAAACCGAATATTCACGGCTCCAAGGTCATGCTCTATATTTGGTGGGATCAGCTCAGCGTAGTGTATTATGAACTGTTAAAACCGACTGAAACAATCACAGGCAATCGGTATCGAACGCAATTGATGCGTTTAAGCCGAGCATTGAAAGTCAATACGGCCGCAATACAACGAGAGACACGATAAAGTGATTTTGCAGCATGCTCGACCCCATATTACGAAAGTGGTCAAGACATACTTGAAAATGTTGAAATGGGAAGTCCTACCCCACCCGCCGTATTCTCCAGACGTCGACTATCACTTGTTTCGATCAATGGCACACGGCCTGACTGATCAGCACTTCCGGTCTTATGAAGAAGTAAAAAATTGGATCGATTCGTGGATAGCCTCAAAAGATGACCAGTTTTTTCGACGCGGAATTCGTACGCTACCCGAAAGATGGGAGAAAGTAGTGGCCAGCGATGGACAATACTTTGAATCATAAATGTATAACCAGTTTTTTCAAATAAATCGAATTTCGGAAAAAACGGTGGAAGCAAAGTTGTACACCTAATACATACTCAGGCGTAATAATAATCTATGAAATGTTTATGTTTATGATAATGCTTTCTGATGCATCATTAATGTTTTTAATTATTGTTTTCAATCCAATTTTGCAAAGTGTTTACAGACGGTAATGGCATTTTCTTGACGTTTCTTAAGTATTTGTAAACTTTAGGACTTAATGATCTTAGATATATTCCAGATTCTATATCTTCAGATGAACATTGTATGCGGCTCTTAATCGATATTAACTTTGCAATTTGGCCTGGTGTAAATACTTTCCTTAAAACTTCGATAGGTATTGTGTTGGTTTGCTTCTTTCTGTCCGTTGTCATTTTGAATATTTCTGTTTGTAATTGTATTATTCCTGCATGCAACTTTTTGACTTCCATACTCAATTGTTCATTTTGTCGTTCCAATATTTCTTTTTCTTTCAACACTTTTAGCTTTTCTTCTTCTAATTTTCGGACGTGCATTAATAACGTTTTCATTGATCCATTTTTTATTGAAACATCATGATTATTAATTTCTCCAAGTCTATAAAAGAAAACGCTTTAATTTACAAATATATATATATATATATAAAACATAATAGAGGGAAGCTTAAGTAAATGGTACGTTGCGGACAAACATTTACTACATACATCTCTACATTTGTTGTATCATTTATCAAATCCTTATGTTGCATAGTTTCTTCTATAATATAGTTAACTTTATTAATATTATTTACACTATTAATATTTTGTACATTTTTGCTTTCACATGTTGCACAATTTTTTTATGCGACTGCAAACGATGCTTTTCTTGTATATATCCAATAAGTTCTGTATATATTGGTACTCCAGTCCTTATTCTTAAAAATGAAAAGATTTTATTTCCACAGCATAAAAATTGCAATATATTTATAAAAAATACTTACGGTACATTTCTTTCTTTCCTCTTCATATTTTCTTTACTCTCTGGTATTCTTCTCTTTTTTCTAATATTAACATTTTTGTTGGAATAGAACCTTTTTTTAATCGTTGCATTTCCCTGGCTGATACATTTTTCAATCTTGGTTTTGTCCACACCATTGTGAAACAATCAGTATCAAAATGATTACTACATATTGCTACAATTATAATATATTTATTTTAATATATATAGTTAACATATGGATACATTCATAATATATTCTATTCAACAAACAATTAAAAAAACAAAATTGATCCTCAAGGTTTGTAATATGCTCTTCGTAAATCATAAATTAAAAAATTCTTTATATCTCCAATGTATAATATGTATATGTAAATTAAAAAAATGTATTAAATTATATCAATTTTACCTGAATCAACTTTGATATTTAATTCCGTTCTTTGACTGGCTTTGAGCCATTGCTGACGAATAATGGCTTCTTTTGGAAATCGGAAAAATTTTACATTTTTTGTTTTATTATGTGACGTACGACTAGTGCAATGTTTTATGCAACACACTGGCATAGTTTCTGCAATAGATAATAATGTATAAACATTATTTAAAGGAGTACTAGAGTGATGAAATTATTGACACATTATATTATAGATCGATTGAAATGACTCCGAATTGACTGAATCAAAAACTCTTTTACAGGATTAAAGTAGATGTAAAATTAGAAACTGTATAAAATCAGAACGTATACATAGCGCTATATCGAATCGGGAGGACAAATATCTTAACCTCTAAAGTCTCCGACTTTAATGTTTAATAATTCGATTCACGAGGCTGACTACCGCCTTTTTTGCCAGATTCTTTCGTTTTGAATGAAAACGTGTCGAATGAGTATATTTTTATTAAGATTTTAGGTGGGGGAAACTATTCTAAATAATTATCGAAAATGTAAATAAATATAGACTTGATAAATCGAAAAAAAGTTAAAACTTAAATCTATTACATACGATGCTTGTTTTCCTATTGGATTGCTAATTGGATTAGAATCTTGCAATTGTATTGGCTACGATGCTGATACTGACAGCATCGAAGCCAATACAGTTGCAAGACTGTAATCTAGCTAACAAATCCAGCAGGAAAACAAGCATCGTATGCCACTGGCTTTATGCAGGCTCTACAATAGAAGCCACAGCGATCGTAGGCTCTTAAGAGTAGATTGATCAATCATAATTATTCTTTTCATAGGATACGGTCAATGTGATGCTACAAACGCTTTGAAATGTTTTTTAATTGGCAGTTTGTAAAATTCTTTCTTCTAATTGATCCATCAAATGCTTCAAAGCGTTTGTAGCGAGATTTTGACAGCCTGATTGGCTATAGGATAGAGAGCTCCGATAACTTCTCTTTCTTGCAGTCAATCAATAAGCTTGAAATAACCGCCACTGACGCAACCAGCGCAGACTTGAAATGACAATTAGCGCAGACTGTTATTAGTTCGCTACCCTTTTACACGTAAACTTAAATAAGTGAAAAAAGAGTATTTGTAAAATAAAGTTTGACAAAATAAAATGCCATATGCTAATCAACCATCGGTCCATATTTCGGACTTAACCGAAGAAAATGTAAAATTTCAAGTAGAAGATACCGAATTGAGGTTAGATTATGTAGAAAAATCAAAGT